CAGGATGAAGAGAAAACTTTGAAGCCATCTCAAAACTGGCCCAAAATATACTAGAGGCAAAATACAGCGAAGAGCAGGGCTAATGACAAAAAAGGAACAGTCCGGCGTCTACTTGAGGAGATGCGTCCAGCGGGTCCAGGTAGACGTGGCAGGAGCGAGGGGGTGACGTTTAGTGGGTAGTGTCCTCCAGGCAGCTTAAGGAGAGATTGAGTCCCACACTCCGTAAGTAAAGGTATTTTACACCTCAAAAAAAAAAAAAATTCTTTGGATGTCGTCTGTCAAAATCTTTCCTAACTCGTTGGACAAGTTTTTGATATATCGAAAATGAATTTTGGGAATAAATAGAACTAATAAAAGAATGAAAAATTTTAAATAATTTTTTTTGTGAAGGGGCATTAAATTTGAGGATTCATGTGTATGTACTTATTGAAGAACCGGCACTGCGTAATAGTTATTCCATGCGAGTACCTTGGGCGTGGATACCGTTCCATCGTTTCCATTGTCACGACACCTATATTAGATTTTGCCCTGGCACTCAATATAAACAGGGACGTGTGTAGAATTCCGGCGACGGCCTTTTTAAATAGAAACTTCGTCCCGTCGCGTCGTTGTGACGTCTTGCAAAACGTCCGGGAACAAGATATCGATTGATAAAAATATCTGTAGCTTTTTTTAATGGCGTTTCTTTCTAGCATACAAAAAATTTTCATGTTATTTAAAAAATAGAGAAGTAGAAAAAGATTTTTTCTTTAATAATAATTGTTGTACAGGGTGTCCCCCTAAGAATAGCTCTCGGCTGTATCTCGGAAAGTATAAGCCGTAGGGTTTACGGAAAAAAATATTTATAGCTAAAGGGGCTATGAGAAATTGCTGCAAATTATTTTCAAGTTTGTAGAACGACCGCTAGAGGGCGCAACTGCTATGAAAAATAAGAATATGAAGTTTTTACACAATTTTGCCTGGATAAGGAGTACTATAAATCATAGCTTCATAATCTTCAGTAAATTTTGAATATTTTTTGTTATAACTATTTTCTTCTATCTGCCACAATAAAGCGGTAAGGAAAGGTTAGATCTGTTTTATTTAAATATTAATAACTCCGGACTGGATGAACCGAATCCGACAAACGAGAGCTCGTTTAAAAGAGCGTTCCTTACTCTATATTATATCATATAAACAACAATATTAAGCTTTTGAACATAGACGCTAGAGGGCGCTGTCTTACAATTTAACAAACATTACACGTTTTTCATAGTATATGTAATTTTAGCTGATAATAAAGAGTAATAAAAGCTTAAAAAGTCAGCGAAAACCGCATCTTGATATGTTTTTTCAAACCAAAGTTATTAGCAAAATTATAAAAAATACGAAAAAATAAGCCCTTAATTACTTTATTTTTCTAACACGGTATCACTGGCGCTCTTGATTATGACCATTCTAATAAAAAGTGAGATAGAAACAATTAGTTTATTCTAAAATCGACAATATACTAGAATATCATAATACCATATGTATTAATATCTAGTAATTAAGATATAAATGACAGTGAACAAGAAACGACGCCTAGGTAGGCTTTGGAAAAAAGTTATTATTTTAGTTATGTTTATTTTTTAAAATTAATCATAAATTTTTCTTCGAAAAAATGATGAAATTTTGGCACAAAAACATTTCAAATTTATAATTTCAGTCTTATAACTATTTAGTCAACATTATGTTTAATTTATGTCAATGATGACTAGTATTGATAATTTCGATTCCAAATATCTCGAAACTATTACTGGTCGCAATTTTTGCCAAGAGACCTTTTTTGACGTAAAAAAGTCGTAAATGTATATTTTTTTACTCAGTGGTTTTATACAGGTACGGACGAAAAGTTATTACTCTTCAAACCAGTTAAAAAATATATAGGTGACGCCCTCTACAAGTAGAAGTCATAATGACATCAAAATCAAATTTCTCGTGCCAAAAAACTCCCAGACACCAATTTTTATCCAAATATTGACGTTACTTCAGAAATTATTTGGAAAAAATCGAAATAAAAATGAAACTTCTATATATACCCTGTATCCCCGAAACTAAGCCATTTTGGGACATACATTTATGCGAACCTTTTTTACTTATTTTTATCTGCAGAATATACTGCCGAAGTTTCGGGAATACAGTTCGGACCACCCTGTATATCAAGAAACTACCCAGTGAGCAAAGTTTTGTCACATATAGGGCACATTAGGAAGCAGTTACGTATCTGCGTTTTATTGTTTCATATCAGGCAAAAGATGGGCCTTGTAACGTATCAACGACATCATCTAGAACGCATTCACCCTGTATAAAGTCCCGTACAGTCTACAATCTACTACCAGCTAAAATTCAACATACAATTAAAATTTTTGAAGCAAGGGTCAACGTTTGTTAGGTTGTAAGAAAGCGCCCTCTAGCTTCTACAGCCAAATGTATATTATTATAGTTTTTAAGATAGATTATTAAATAAAAAACTCTTTTAAACGAGATTCCGTTCATTGGATTCTGATTACCCAGTACGGAGTTATTAATTTTTTACTTCTATTTTAAAGAGAATTTTATTACTTTTTTACTGTAATTTTTTAATCCAGTGTTTAAATTAAGTACAGCTTAATTCTTTCCCGACTTTTAATTTTATCTAAAATCCCTGCTTTATTAATTTTTGATAATACAACTAGAGTAAATATTTATTTTTAGATATTTTTAAAAATTCATTACACCAGAGTGAATTCTGATAATACGTTTATTTTTAGGGTTGGCCAAGCAACATTTATAGAAGCCGTTATAAATAAATAAACGACGGTTTTTAAGCGTCTGGCCGGTTAACATCCCAGTCTATTGACTTTAGTCTATAAATTTTTGATTGTTTTTTGTTTACGAACTTTCTTGTTTGTTCTTCGGCAAAACAAACATAAAACCTTTTTTTTTCTGTAACAGTCAGTTTTAGAATTATTTACTAGAAATTAAGACTGGTCGATTTAATTTGGCAAAATAGCATTTGTTTATTAAAAAATGACAATCACATATTCATAAATTATGTAATAAATTTATAAAAAATATAAAATATGAGTAGAAGTGTTTAAGTCACATATTTCACGCATTATTATTTATAAAGGCACATATCTTAAAAAATATCTTGTTGTATACAGGGTGTCCCAAAAAAGTAATGATAATTTTTTTTAAAAATACAGCCCATATTTTTCTGTACTGAATTGAATTCAGCATAACATTCTGCATTATAGTACACTAAATTTATTTGAAGCACTATGCAGTGTTGCTCTGCACTATGCGGTGTTTCATATTTTCTGAGACTTTGGTTAAAATCAGTATATCCAGAAAGTGGTAAAAACTGGAGTGAATTTAACTTATGTTTATATATAATTATATGCTATTATATATATACAATATGGGTGCTACAAATTTGAGGTACGGGCATTGGTATCTCGGTAACCGTAATAGATACGAAAATGGTTAAATTGGGGCAAAGTTGCGCTTTGGGATTTTCACCTAGATGCCATCAAAAATGTTTTAAAAATTTCAAGGATTGCTGAGTTTTTGAGAAAAAACAGATTTTTGTGAAAATCAATTTTATTTTTTCCAGTTTTTACTTTTTAGAAAATCAAAAAACTAATTGCACATTCTCATAGCCACTTTATTAGAATTATCTGATAGTATTTCTAGATTTTCAAATTAGCTGATAATTTGTGAGATACAGAGGCCAACTTAACGTTTCTAAATACGGACCTGCATTTTTTATTTCAGATTTTGAAAGTCACTCAATTTTTTTTTGATTCAGACATTTGAACACAATTTATTTAAACTAATTTCCTAAGTCCGGCTCTGTTTTTTTTTAAATATTTATTCTATTGTTACAGTATTGATAAGCTTTAAAACTGAACAATGACGTGGGGTAAAACATTGAATACGGAAAATAAAATGTAATAAAATAATAAACAAATAATCTTTAGAATTGTTAGAAAAGTTTTTTAACAATTCTAAAGAGCCGTCTGAAAATCCAAAATACTAAAATGCTGTAATTTTGCTAGGAGCAATGAATGGTCTAGAGTATCAAATGCTTTATTAAAGTCTAGTAAGCTAAGACAAGTAATATTTTTATTTTCTTGATTTGTTTTAATATCACTACCAGCTTCAGTAGACAAGTGGTAGTGCTGTAGTTCTTACGAAAACCAGATTGGCATTCAGGTATTAGTTTATCTGAATCTACAAATTAAACAATTTGATTATGTAGATGTTTTTCTATAATTTTAGAAATTGCTGGCAAAATACTCACGGGTCTTAGATCGTTATTATTTAAAGGTTTGGAAATTTTACGGAGTGGTGTTATAACAGCTTTTTTCTATATTTTTTCAGGATAAACCTATTAAAGTAGAAGTATTAATTATATTTATTACCGCTTTACCACAGCAAGGTATGCACATCTTTAGTGCTTTAATTGATAAATTATCTTCACCGACAGCATTAGACCGAATAGAATTTAATATTTGATGTAACGATACCTCATCTATTAGTTATAAATTTAGAACATTATTCCCTATTTTCTCATGCTTATTTTGTCTATAAAAATCTATTATTTTATTTGATGTAGTATTAATGCAATTATGAATTATCTTAGAATAATGGTAGAAATAGAGCCAAACAATTTAAATAAGTCGAAAATTGTAAATTTGTAAACGCATTTCGTGCGTTCGGCGTGTACGCGCCCCCACTCGCCTGTTGCGCACTCACCGGGCCCTCTCCCCACACTCCGACGCCTCTGTTTCGCCAGGCGTCGCGACGTCCGCCAGTACGACGCGAGGATCGCCCGCGACGACACGACGCGCCATGCAGCACGCGCCAGTGGTGCCGGCTTTCGCGTAACGCGTACGTTGACTGGCATCGTCGTCATGGAAACGGGCCGACGCCGGAAGTATCGGTACCACGCGACGCCGACGACCGGAAGGACAGTTGGGTGGTGTGGCGAAATGAGGTTATGGGTGTGGGTGGTGGTATGGGGGTGGACGGTTGGTGCCGTGTACGGTCTAGAGCTCGGTAAGTGTTTAGAGAGATTCTTTTTTTTAATTAATTCCATCATCTTTCTGTAATCTGAACGTATATTGTTTCTGTCTTTAGCGTGTCTTTCCTTGTACTTTTACTATACTTTGTAGTTCAGTAGCTTTAAGATATGTATCTCTGTAGAATGTAGTAGATTTAGTTTATCAATAGGACCAGACTCACTTGGATAAACCAAAATACCTTGTTTTTCAATTTGTTATGCCCACTTGCACCGTTTGTATAAACTTTGTTTAAAGGCTAAACAGTGATTAACTATATAATATTTTATTATAGTTAATCACTGTTTAGCGTTTAAACAAAGATCAATGTGACCAAGACTCATTATATATATAAATATATATATATATATATTATATATATATATATATATATATATATATATATATATATATATATATATATATATATATATATATATATATATATATATATATATATATATATATATATATATATATATATATATATATATATATATATATATATATATATATATATATATATATATATATATATATATATATATATATATATATATATATATATATATATATATATATATATATATATATCGCAGGCACATCGAATAACTCGGCATTTTGCAAAAAGACTAGGCATATTTTAAAACGCCGGCGTTTTTAACAAAAGAAGAATATTTTACAAAGAGCCTATCTGTTTTCAGTCGCTTTGCAAAATGCCTAAGACTAGTCAGATTATACAAAAAATTTTACGCGGGATTGGTATAACTAACCTAAATTTACCCAACGACATTTCTTAAACTTCTTTTTCAAAATTTGGAAATAATGACCCATAAAGTGATAATTTTGTTAAATAGAGTATGGTTGAGGATGGTTATTATAAAGATCTAAATTCATTAAGCTTTGATAAGATAATTTTTTAATCTGCCTGGCCTCTATTCCTGAACAGGCAGTCTTTTTGCAGAAGTGTACAGAAAATATCATCATTGTTTAATATGCCTAATTTTGAATAGATTTTTTGCAAAACGAATGAATATAGGTAGGCTTTTTGTAAAAATTCTTTCTTTTGTGTAAAAAGTCGGTGTTCTTTATATATGTTGTGTATGTATGTATATATGTACGGTGTTCTTTAATATGCCTAGTCTTTTTGCAAAAAGCAGGATTATTCTATACGTTTGCGAGATATATATTCTTAAGACCCTTATCATAATTTTGAGTAAAAGCACTCATAAAAAAATGTGTATCACTGTTTGATAAATTATGATAAATTATGAACTGCATATTGCAAAAAATTACTCCTATAAAAACTATTCTTTATGAAGGTCGCTTTTTTAACGATTATACAGTTCTATAATGATAAATACCGTATGATCGAAAAAAAAACGGCGTCAAAGACGGCTATGAAATGATAATCGTTGATAATTTTGGCGAGGTCAATCTCTAGACGCCATTCACATAAAATTAACATAGAACTTGTCAAAAATTAACACTAATTATAGAAAGATAAAAAAGATAGAACGTTTCCAGACATACAAATTTATTTCCAAAAAATATGTTTGTGTTCTCCAATGAATCTGCGAGTAACTAACTCTAATTCTGAGCTACCAAATTAGCTAGATACTTTACCTAGACCGTTATTCAGAAGCTACAAATCTATCTATGCCGAGTGTCACAGTCTTGAATTTTTACTCTCAACACGGAAAAAAATCATTTCTATATTCAAGAACAATCATACACTTAAAATTTTACACTTTCTTTAAGGATAGTATTCTTTCCATGAGTACAACAAATATTTGGATCTATTTTACTTTTACACTTGCTTTTTAAATATAGTTATAGTCACTTTAAGTAATTTTGAATCTAAAAAAAGAATAAAATGACTTATATTTCAGAAAAACTTATATTACTATCAAGCGAATAAAAATCATTTAGCAAAGAAGAAACTATTATTAAATGAAGTATAAATACTTTTATATAATAAGTATTCTTAAATTTTTAAAAACTTTTACTTGAAATCGGTGTATACTTTAAAAATAAGCATATTATTCTCGGCGCGAGAATAACACCCCATTTCCAAGAGTTACTATTTTTATATTAAGTGACCATCCCCAACAGCAAGAACGCAACGTGCATTCCTGATTCCTACCTTCATTTCATGGGATTTCTGTTTCTCTGATGCGACACGAGACGCGCCGACTAGTCGGGTAGTTTATAAAGTTTTTTTTGTTATCGTTTGTGCTTCTGATATGTGAATATGGAGGACCTTCTTCAGGCATGGGAGATGACGGATTTGATCCCAAAATTTCAAGGTAAGTTTAGCAATAATCCTAAGTTATTTGATGACATTGGTTGGAAGTTAGGGGGACTCCATTTTTTATTTCTTATACACCGGTGGTAAACTAGGTATGAGCGCGTTTGGAATGATTCAATTATGTTTTAACAATTTTTATTATCGTTTCTCGTTTTTAATTAGCGATGCCGCTGTTCAATATCTACCTATATTGGGAAATTACACAGTTTTATTGTATTTTATTATTACGAAAAGCATATAATTTGGTGGGTGATGTTTGGCTAATCTAATTTAAAAGGTATTAACCATTTTCGGGGTTATTCTGGTGATATTTCAATATTCCATACCTATTGTAAATGGAAATTAAAATTTTTAGCATGTACCATTACCGGACAAACCCGATTTTAGGATAAACTAATTTTTCCTAGGTTACTTAAATACTTTAGATAAGGAAAAGATTTTACCAAAACAAGAGTTTCTAACAAGATCGAACCCGAACCACCGAAAGCATAGGGAACACGTTACCGAATTTTATGAAAACTATATAGTTTTTCGAGCCCGCTTAATATTCGGCCTAGGAAAAACTAGTTTATCCTAAAATCGGGTTGGAGTCCCCCTAACCTCCAACAAATATTATCAAATAATGTAGAATTATTGTTAAACTTACCTTGAAATTTTGGGATCAAATTCGTCATCTCCCATGCCTGAAGAAGGTCCTCCATTTTCACATATCACAAGCACAAACGATAACAAAAAAAACTTTATTAGACATTAACTCTTGTAACGATAAAGTATAGTATAACTAATCTAAGAGTAAGAAGAGGCTTTATTTCAGAATAAAGTAATTATTACATGTACACAAAGAATTTCTATACTTAATGCAATAATTTGCTAATTTACAGATAAGTATAAGTAGTACTCGAAACAAGATTATATCTAGAATTGTCTGGAGTGTAGTTATAATCTTAATTTCGATTCTAGGTAAATCTTAAATAAAAGATAAATTTTCTTAGCTTCTAAGGATAAGATTTTCTTGAAAAGAAGTATAACTAGATTTTCCGAATGGGGAAACTAGCATATTGTTGGTTCAAGATTAATAATCTTTAAGCCAGTTTAGCTTTTTCTCCGTGAACGCGCGTCAAGAAGTTTCACTATAAAAATAAAGAAAGCAGCGATACACATACATCAATAACCTTTACAATTGCCTGAAAAATGCATTTACTTATATTAGATTGTATTAACAAAGAATTGTTGAAATCTACTCTGTGTCCTGTCACCCATGAATGCTGACAAATCTTATTGCCACATTTAAAAAATATATCCTCCACAGTGGTATAAACATTATTTACAGTAATAGGTACATAGTTAAAAAAACAAGTTTTCCTTTTTGAAGGAAAACCAACCCTTATCTGTGAGGTTTCCTCTAGAGCAACCTTCCACCGATTTTCCCTTATTATAAAATATTAGTCGTGCCAACGTAGCCTGCCACGGTAGCGAGAAAGGTGAAAATATACCTGCCTGAGTCGGGCAAAATGAAACGGACTTGAATAAAATAGGGACTAGAAGAAAATTGGTTCGAGGGTGTAGATGAAATATTCAATTCTTAGCCCTGTTTCTCATTCTCTTTGTCGACTGTTTCGTATCTGAAATCGGGGTAATTGTATATCTGCGCGTTAAAAAATGTATCTAGATGAAATATCTAACTAAGTTTTAATACGTTTATAAGATTTAGAATGTTTAAATAATAGGGTTACAAGATAGTTAATACAAGGTACAATTGAAATGTAGAATGCCACTTTATCTAACGAAGAAAACTTTCGACCAATGTGTACTACCAGTCATCACCTATGCATGCAGGTCGCACAACGCTGAATAGAATAAAATATGCTAAGAATGTCCAAAAAATACCGTAAAAGAATAGAGTGGATACGGCAAAAGATCCAGGTAATAGATATCATCCACAGAATCAAATATCTCAAGTGGCAAGAAGGACGGACAACAGATGGTCCAAAAAAATTACAGCGTGATACCCACGAGGATATAAGAGACCTAGAAGAAGACCAAACCTGAGATGGAACCATGACATAGGAAATTAGCAAGGATAACTTGGGCCCGCATAGCCAATAATAGACAACCAATTGGCCCAACTATAAAGAGAATATCTAAGTATGTGAAGGAGGCTACACCATAACTGGAAATGGTTGGATAAGCTAAAATGGTGATGATGATGATGAATGAATAGGTAAAAATAATATGCTTTTAGAGAAACGTCAAATAGCAAATTCCATAAAACTGGTGAAATATTAGCTATTATCAATTATTATCAATTTGCTCTGCAAAACCAAAGAGTAATTTAAATATGTAAATTTTTGAATTGATTTTTCAAGTTTTTTAATGTTTCTTATAATATTTTGATATATTTTTGCAACGTCTTTAAACTAATTTTTTAACTAATTTTTGCAGGCGTAATAAAGCTATTTTATTCCAAATGTCACATAAGTAATTTTTGCAATGTGGTTTGTCAATATATAAACGTCATTTTTAATATAATATATAATATATATATATAGCAATATGTATAATAATATATATATAATAATAATAATAATAATAATAATAATAATAATAATAGCCAATATGTAATAATAATAATAATAATATGTATATATATATAGCATATATATATACATAACTATATATATATATAT